GATTCATGGTTTTACACTGGTCCAGACCAGAGCAGAGAGGATTCATGGTTTTACACTGGTCCAGACCAGAGCAGAGAGGATTCATGGTTTCACACTGGTCCAGACCAGAGCAGAGAGGGTTCATGGTTTTACACTGGTCCAGACCAGAGCAGAGAGGATTCATGGTTTTACACTGGTCCAGACCAGAGCAGAGAGGATTCATGGTTTTACACTGGTCCAGACCAGAGCAGAGAGGATTCATGGTTTTACACTGGTCCAAACCAGAGCAGAGAGGATTCATGGTTTTACACTGGTCCAGACCAGAGCAGAGAGGATTCATGGTTTTACACTGGTCCAGACCAGAGCAGAGAGGATTCATGGTTTTACACTGGTCCAGACCAGAGCAGAGAGGATTCATGGTTTTACACTGGTCCAGACCAGAGCAGAGAGGATTCATGGTTTTACACTGGTCCAGACCAGAGCAGAGAGGGTTCATGGTTTTACACTGGTCCAGACCAGAGCAGAGAGGATTCATGGTTTTACACTGGTCCAGACCAGAGCAGAGAGGATTCATGGTTTTACACTGGTCCAGACCAGAGCAGAGAGGATTCATGGTTTTACACTGGTCCAGACCAGAGCAGAGAGGATTCATGGTTTTACACTGGTCCAGACCAGAGCAGAGAGGATTCATGGTTTTACACTGGTCCAGACCAGAGCAGAGAGGATTCATGGTTTTACACTGGTCCAGACCAGAGCAGAGAGGATTCATGGTTTTACACTGGTCCAGACCAGAGCAGAGAGGATTCATGGTTTTACACTGGTCCAGACCAGAGCAGAGAGGATTCATGGTTTTACACTGGTCCAGACCAGAGCAGAGAGGATTCATGGTTTTACACTGGTCCAGACCAGAGCAGAGAGGATTCATGGTTTTACACTGGTCCAGACCAGAGCAGAGAGGATTCATGGTTTTACACTGGTCCAGACCAGAGCAGAGAGGATTCATGGTTTTACACTGGTCCAGACCAGAGCAGAGAGGATTCATGGTTTTACACTGGTCCAGACCAGAGCAGAGAGGATTCATGGTTTTACACTGGTCCAGACCAGAGCAGAGAGGATTCATGGTTTTACACTGGTCCAGACCAGAGCAGAGAGGATTCATGGTTTTACACTGGTCCAGACCAGAGCAGAGAGGATTCATGGTTTTACACTGGTCCAGACCAGAGCAGAGAGGATTCATGGTTTTACACTGGTCCAGACCAGAGCAGAGAGGATTCATGGTTTTACACTGGTCCAGACCAGAGCAGAGAGGATTCATGGTCCGAACCAAGTGGATCAGCTAAAAATCCACCGGAGGAATGCTAAATTTTTGAAAAATGCTAATGAAGTATTCAGCATATTACTTTGACTAGAGCAGAGAAAATGGTTCGAACCAAGCTCCACCTCCATAGTATTAATACTATTGTCAGCTTTTAAGAATTATCAATTTTATTTGTTATTTTTGCTGCTACCTGAATTTCTCCTATGGGGATCAATAATGTATCTATCTATCTATATTTTTGTGGTGGGGGACACTGCCAGGAGGAAACCCCCCCAGACACAGGGAGAAACTCCACAGAGAAAGGCTCAGGCCGACACAGGAATCTAATCTAATCATCAAATCCATATATTCTTGTAGTTGTCTCAGAGGACGCTACAGGAAATGCCAATTTACCAACGACAGATTAGAACACACAGAAATGCAATAATAAATAAATTTATCACACGCTCCTCACAGCAGCAGGAGAACGCTCCATCGATGTGAATGTCATTTCAAAACGTTCTACCAGTCATTATAACGGACCTCTCAAAACCATAATGACCGCTGCCCTTTGGCAACGCACTCTCTGCTTGTCTTTCAGATGCGTGGATAACTCTGCAAGTAGTTCCAGCCACTCCGGAGCTCGCCACGCTCGATAAACGCAAATACCAATCAAAAAACACACTTAAATGTTAATTGGAGAATACATTATACAAATCCAGTCTTAATACAAGTGCACGGAAGTTTTCAGAATTTTCCGTTTACGTTTTCATGACAAAAACACTGATGTAATGCGAGAAAAGGCGATCCCAAAAAACCCGGAAGTAGATACGGCACATTTTAGGAACATTTGCAGAGGATGGAATTATGGATTTAGGTTAAGTTTATGTTTGGGTCACTCACCGCTGATGTTCAGGATTCTGTGTTCAGTTTTCATGCAGTTCCAGGGAGTTCTAGTTTGGAAGTTGCTAGCCTAACTGTTGCTAGCATAGCCACGGGAAAGCCTTTGGGAACTATTTTATTTTCTTTCTTATTTTAAATGAACCTTTTGGCATTCCTAAAAGTGGACTGAGGTTTATTTTGTGTGTTCTGTTGGTATAAAGCCATGTAATAAGCGGGATAACGTATATTATGCAGGTCATTATCGGAAAATAAGTACCTTCAGGGCGAAGCAGACCCCGACGCGCAGCCCTGAATGACCTGCGTACTATACGTTATCCCTTACATTTGAGTCAGTGGTCCATAGAGTGCGCGTGAGACCGAAGTCCATAAATGCTCACACATGTCATACAAACATTTGATTAGTTCTACTGAGTCTTTGTGACGGACTTTGTGACATAAATGTAACGAAACAGTGAGAGCCAAATATTTCAGTTAAAGTTAAAACATGAAATAGTTATTTCTGTTTAAAAGGTTAAACAGAAAACAGGGTAGCATTGCACCCTCAGCTCAGACTTCCAAAACTGTATTTATTCATGACTGCACCAAACCAGTGGCGTTCCAAGGGTACCCCGGGGCCCCGGGCAACATAACCACATAAAAGGTTTATATTACAGTAGGCATAAATATATTAATAATAAATGCAATATCTATTACTTTTTTACATTAATATAAATGAAATGTAGATAATTATTTTTAACAGTAAATGGATAGGCCTGGGGCCTGCCTGGCTCACTGTACAGTCTGCCATAGACAGTTACTTCAGCACTTATCCTGGCCCTGGATTCGAATCCCGGTTGGACCAGGGCCTTTCTGAGTGGAGTTTGCATGTTCTCCCCGTGTCTGCGTAGGTTTCCTCCGGGTGCTCCGGTTTCCCCTACCACTAAAAATATGTACAATAGGTCAGGCATGTGCCTCCTGTTCTGGCCCCACTCCCAAAAATAACAATTGTAAACCGCTTTGAGACTCCAATGTGCAGTGAAAAGGCGGTATATAAATAAAGATTACTTACTTACTTATCGTGACACAAAGCAATGAGGAATCATTCAGCATGTCTTTCCTAAGCTTGTTCACTACACTCATCATGTTATAATTAATCACAAAAACTACCTATTAAGTGTATTAATCCTACAAAAGTTTAGGGCCAAATGAAAGATTTGACCCTCAGCTTTAATCTGCAAAAAACGGCTTATTTTTACCTTTTACCGTTCTTGAGCAATCTGTCATAGAATAATATATGTATTGTTTAATCTGTTCATTAAGAACGTGGAAAGTTTTGCATCAGCCGAGTGGTTTTAATCCGCCGACTCAGTGCTTCAGAAGCCTGTACAAGTCGACCGCTTGTGTCAAATCAGTCGGCCCTCAGGGGCCCCTTGCCGGTTCGGGGGCCCCGGCAGCAGCCTGCCTTGCCTGTTGGCACGGTACGCCTCTGCACCAAACATACACTCACAATATACACATGCAATACATACAATGCATAACATAAAAGACATAACAACACAATGACAAAAACCCACTGACCAAGCAGTAGTAAAACAGAATACACAAACTTCCAGACGGGACAGATGCTCAGTAAACAAGACAAAAGACAACACAAATACAAATAATGTACAGACACCACACCTACAAGTACTTGGTTTTTATTTATTAATTTTTTTCCTTTATTTATTTATATTTGGATCCACCCTCTGGTTGGCAGCCTTACTGTGGGGAAGCGGTGAACCTAATTTTTTATTGATTCTCAATCTTTGTTGCATGGTTTGGAGACAATGCAACAAATCTATAACGTTATCCAACAGGCAAATGACAGACACAAACTAAGACTGCTTCGCTTTTGTCGTTGTCAAATGAGCGGGGATAAAGCAGCTTTTCTCATTAATGAAGTGGGTGACAAAACCAAAACTTAATAACTCTGTTGTTTACCAAGTGACCTGCAATCGGCCGATATAGGTCTTAAACTAAAGACGGGAACACCGATTCGACGTCGCCGTTAGTGACCAATCAATAGTTAATAAGAGCCTCATCAGCCGGGCCCCAGGATGCACAGGGTTTATAAGCTGCTTGCTAAGTAGATGGATTCCTGCTTGGACAGTGTTGTAAATTTCTCTTCGCTCGGTCAATAAGTGCCTGTCTGTCTATGTGTCGAAGAATAATAAATCAGTTTTCGTTCTGTCTTCGCCAAGAGCACAGTTCAAATGAACGACGTTCCAAGCATTCCGAAGGAGAAATGCTGTATTTTGTTTTTGTCAGCCATGGGAGAAGACACATCACGGTGCATCAGAATCTACCGCAGTCAACGGTTAATGGAGTTCGGTGACTTTTACAATATCTTTGTGATCTCATATATTTGTTGTGGCCAGAGAAAATTGGCCTCCTATTGTTGAGGAAACATAAAGGACAGGAGGCCTTTGAAAGAAATCCAGGACAAGCCTAGCATCTAAAGTACCGGGAGATGAAAAGATAAGACCAAACCAATCTAAAAGAGCAGGTCCAATCTACAACAGCGTTGAAGATGCTGTATTAATCGCTGCTAAACACCTTTTCCTTTTTAACATTTCTGACCAATGTTCATCCGGTCGGTGAGTGTGTGATTATTTGGGTGGTGGGAAAATGGCTCAACAGCCTGGATAGAAATCAGAACCTCATGAATTATTATTGTTTGTGTCGTCAATCATCATTTCTCAAACTGTGGCACTGTGGCTTCTTCTAGTCCATCCATCCATCCATTTTCTTCCCCTTAATCCATTTCTGGGTCAGGGGGGTAGCAGCCTCCCTGCTCTCCCAGGCCCAACCACAGCCTCCCTGCTCTCCCAGGCCCAACCACAGCCTCCCTGCTCTCCCAGGCCCAACCACAGCCACCCTGCTCACCCAGGCCCAACCACAGCCACCCTGCTCTCCCAGGCCCAACCACAGCCACCCTGCTCTCCCAGGCCCAACCACCGCCTCCCTGCTCTCCCAGGCCCAACCACCGCCTCCCTGCTCTCCCAGGCCCAACCACAGCCTCCCTGCTCACCCAGGCCCAACCACAGCCACCCTGCTCTCCCAGGCCCAACCACAGCCACCCTGCTCACCCAGGCCCAACCACAGCCACCCTGCTCTCCCAGGCCCAACCACAGCCTCCCTGCTCACCCAGGCCCAACCACAGCCACCCTGCTCTCCCAGGCCCAACCACAGCCACCCTGCTCACCCAGGCCCAACCACAGCCTCCCTGCTCTCCCAGGCCCAACCACCGCCTCCCTGCTCACCCAGGCCCAACCACAGCCTCCCTGCTCTCCCAGGCCCAACCACAGCCTCCCTGCTCTCCCAGGCCCAACCACAGCCACCCTGCTCTCCCAGGCCCAACCACAGCCTCCCTGCTCACCCAGGCCCAACCACAGCCACCCTGCTCACCCAGGCCCAACCACAGCCTCCCTGCTCTCCCAGGCCCAACCACAGCCTCCCTGCTCACCCAGGCCCAACCACAGCCTCCCTGCTCTCCCAGGCCCAACCACCGCCTCCCTGCTCACCCAGGCCCAACCACAGCCACCCTGCTCTCCCAGGCCCAACCACAGCCTCCCTGCTCACCCAGGCCCAACCACAGCCTCCCTGCTCACCCAGGCCCAACCACCGCCTCCCTGCTCACCCAGGCCCAACCACCGCCTCCCTGCTCACCCAGGCCCAACCACAGCCTCCCTGCTCTCCCAGGCCCAACCACAGCCTCCCTGCTCTCCCAGGCCCAACCACAGCCTCCCTGCTCTCCCAGGCCCAACCACAGCCTCTCTGCTCACCCAGGCCCAACCACAGCCTCCCTGCTCACCCAGGCCCAACCACAGCCACCCTGCTCTCCCAGGCCCAACCACAGCCACCCTGCTCTCCCAGGCCCAACCACAGCCACCCTGCTCACCCAGGCCCAACCACAGCCACCCTGCTCTCCCAGGCCCAACCACAGCCACCCTGCTCTCCCAGGCCCAACCACCGCCTCCCTGCTCTCCCAGGCCCAACCACAGCCTCCCTGCTCACCCAGGCCCAACCACAGCCTCCCTGCTCACCCAGGCCCAACCACAGCCACCCTGCTCTCCCAGGCCCAACCACCGCCTCCCTGCTCTCCCAGGCCCAACCACAGCCACCCTGCTCTCCCAGGCCCAACCACCGCCTCCCTGCTCTCCCAGGCCCAACCACAGCCTCCCTGCTCACCCAGGCCCAACCACAGCCTCTCTGCTCTCCCAGGCCCAACCACAGCCTCCCTGCTCACCCAGGCCCAACCACAGCCTCCCTGCTCTCCCAGGCCCAACCACAGCCTCTCTGCTCTCCCAGGCCCAACCACAGCCTCCCTGCTCTCCCAGGCCCAACCACAGCCACCCTGCTCTCCCAGGCCCAACCACAGCCACCCTGCTCTCCCAGGCCCAACCACCGCCTCCCTGCTCTCCCAGGCCCAACCACAGCCTCCCTGCTCTCCCAGGCCCAACCACCGCCACCCTGCTCACCCCAGGCCCAACCACAGCCACCCTGCTCTCCCAGGCCCAACCACCGCCTCCCTGCTCTCCCAGGCCCAACCACAGCCTCCCTGCTCACCCAGGCCCAACCACAGCCTCCCTGCTCTCCCAGGCCCAACCACAGCCACCCTGCTCTCCCAGGCCCAACCACAGCCACCCTGCTCTCCCAGGCCCAACCACCGCCTCCCTGCTCTCCCAGGCCCAACCACAGCCTCCCTGCTCACCCAGGCCCAACCACAGCCTCCCTGCTCTCCCAGGCCCAACCACAGCCACCCTGCTCACCCAGGCCCAACCACAGCCACCCTGCTCTCCCAGGCCCAACCACAGCCTCCCTGCTCTCCCAGGCCCAACCACAGCCACCCTGCTCACCCAGGCCCAACCACAGCCACCCTGCTCTCCCAGGCCCAACCATAGCCTCCCTGCTCACCCCAGGCCCAACCACAGCCTCCCTGCTCACCCAGGCCCAACCACAGCCTCCCTGCTCTCCCAGGCCCAACCACAGCCACCCTGCTCACCCAGGCCCAACCACAGCCACCCTGCTCTCCCAGGCCCAACCACAGCCACCCTGCTCTCCCAGGCCCAACCACAGCCTCCCTGCTCACCCAGGCCCAACCACAGCCACCCTGCTCTCCCAGGCCCAACCACAGCCACCCTGCTCTCCCAGGCCCAACCACAGCCTCCCTGCTCACCCAGGCCCAACCACAGCCACCCTGCTCTCCCAGGCCCAACCACAGCCACCCTGCTCTCCATTTAA